GAAAGTGGCCGGATTTACAAATCAAACACCAGCAAAAACCTAGCTTCCAAAATCTAGATTCTAAACTGCAAATCGATCAATTCCTATGCAACAGCCAGCTAGAACTCAGAAAATGGATGAGAAACCTCACCTTACCCGTCGGAAATGGTGGCTGGAGGAGAGAGATCGAGCGCTGTGAAGTTCTGTCAATTCCGGCGATTTTTCTGCATTTTTCGGTGGATTGCGACGATTCCCGGAGTTGAGATGGGGAGGGAAGAGACAAGGAGGAGATGGCGGTTCGAATGGGACCCTTCTCGTCGGACGGGGTGGTCGGAAGTGGTGGCGGTGTGGTGGTTTCTGTTCGGTGAACAGTAACAGGGGAGGGGGAAATCGCAGAGGGAGGAGACGCGGGAGAGAGAGAGAGAGAGAGAGAAAATGAGGGGTAAAAATGAAAAAATCTGATTTTTACCAAACTTTTCGAAAATAATTACGGTTCCGCCACCGAACTTATTTTGATCGCAAAAACTTCATTAAATCTCCGACTCAAGCCTACCGCCTGTCTATTGTTTCGTCTCAGTACCACCTACGCAACCAAACCACTCGTGGTCCCAAAATCTTCCCGGATAAGAAAATGACCAAAATTACCCTTAACCCAAGAGTAAATTAATATTTTCTCCTAATTAAATTAAAAATAGGAAATAATTGGAGTCGGGGTGTTACAAATGTTGCTAGTTTTAGCGGAAATACAACATATGATTGATGCATAACTTAATTTAAGGGAGGTTACTCACAAAGCCAAAACCATTGGTGCTAGTGCTAGATTCGGGTTTAATCATGGAGTAGCCAGTAGGATAGTGTGCAAGGAAGATCTTCATGTATGGAACCTCGTCAACTATAGCAGAGACACCACCATGCTTACTTCCTCTTGATAAAGCGTCAGCATATTCTTCAACCGAATTACAGGGTTTAAGACCTTTGAAATTCAAGTTCTTTACCACTCCCTGGGTGACTGAACGTGATTGGTAACCTATATAGTTTCCTCTTGAGTTTAGACAGGACGCTCAATTACCCACACAACGAAACCGGTCAAGATAAAGAAACCCGCACTTGTGATCCAGAGATCTGGCGAAAGGGGTTTCAAGAAAAACCACATGTCTTCATTTTCATTTGATACTAGCATCCCCACACCTAAGTCAGTATATGGTATTGTAAAACCAACATACTGAGATCTCTCCGATGTGATCGTGGTATCCCCAACAACAGCATCGAATGTCTAGTTAATATGCATTCCCCAATATGCAAAAGTGTGTGGCAGGAAAACGAAAAATTAAAAATTAGAAAGATTAAATCATTAAAATGTAATATAATGAGATGCAAATCTATTTTTGCATTACAAGTTACTAGCATACAATTACAGATGTATTTATCCAACATAATATTTATATTCCACCTGATATAAATTTTTAATTTCAAATTAAGCATACCTGGAGAACAACTTGGTGAACAAGATCATTGTAACTTGGATTAGCATCAATCGAAAATGGAATGAAGTCATATTTAACTTCATACGGAAACCCTCTAATTGCAGCCTCAAATACGTCTATGAAGAAGCCTGTGAAATATGTTCGATTGGTTTGAGTATCATGGTTCTTAAGCACAACTTCGTTGAACCCTTTTTTCACTGGAACGCCAACTCTTAGTTTTATTTCGGAACTATTACTCAATTGCATCTTTGAACCTCTTGGGATGGTTGATGATCCTCCAGGCCATATGATTGTTTCGAGATCGTTGGT